CCAAACATAGAACGGCCTATAATTGGTTGTGTGGTAGGAATAGATGCGTTGGCATCACCCATGTTACCCCAAACAATAATGCCCGATTTGATAACTAATTCTGGTTTAGTGCCAAAGAATGCCGGATTGAACATGGTCAGGTCTGCTATTTTACCAACTTCGATCGAGCCGATTAAGTGACCTACACCACACACAATTGCACTAAGGTTGAGAAGAATGTTGTGAGCGAGCGATAGAGGAAAAATGATTACGCTAAATTGTTTATTACGATATTAACTATTATTGATACTTACGGATTGATCGTATACTTGGCAACATATCTTCTGATTCTAAAGTTGTCCGCAGAACCATCTTCTTCGGTTCCCAACCTTCCCCTCTGTACTTTCATTTTGTGCGCAGTCTTCCACGTTCGAAGTACAACCTCCCCTATTCTTCCCATTGCTTGCGAATCTGAACTGATGATACTAATAGCTCCAATATCATGCAATACATCTTCAGCAGCAATAGTCTCTGCTCTAATACGAGACTCGGCGAATGCAACATCCTCTGGAATGTTCTTGTCCAAATGGTGACATACCATCAACATGTCAACGTGCTCATCGAGAGTATTCGAAGTATAAGGTCGAGTCGGATTAGTAGAAGATGGAATAACGTTTGGCTCTCCGCACACGCGAATGATATCGGGCGCGTGTCCACCTCCTGCTCCTTCTGTATGATACGCATGAATGGTACGGTCCTTGAACGCGCCAATCGAATCTTCAACAAACCCAGACTCGTTCAACGTATCTGTGTGAATATTGACTTGTATATCGTACTCATCACCAACAGATAAGCACGTGTCAATGGCGGACGGAGTAGTTCCCCAGTCTTCGTGGAGTTTCAGTCCCATTGCGCCAGCGACAATCTGTTCCTTGAGTCCTTCAGGAGAAGACGAATTGCCTTTGCCGGTAAACCCAAAGTTAAGAGGATAGTCGTCGGTTGAAGAAAGCATCATTTCAATGTGATGAGAACCAGGTGTGCAGGTAGTCGCGTTCGTGCCTGTGTTGGGACCCGTGCCTCCGCCTATGAGAGTAGTTATGCCTGATGAGAGCGCCTACAACAGAACCGGGACGTAAAGATGCAATTAGCATAAAGCAAATGAATGAGTAAATCTTGTGAATCAATAAATAGACAACAGGGTAAATATTATGTGCTATCTATTACCTCCGGAAGTAGCTGTGGACATATAAAATGCACGTGTACATCTATAGCTCCAGCAGTAAATATATGTTTCTCCCCAGCAAGCGCTTCGGTAGTCGGACCAACAATCATTCCGGGAGTAACTCCATCCATCACGTCAGGATTCCCTGCTTTACCGATTCCAACTATAATTCCGTTCTTTATTCCAATGTCAGCCTAATAACAAAACATCATTAGTACGTTACAAACTGGATGCGGTGAACCGCAATAACAATTTATTCCAACCTTATAGATTCCAGTATAGTCTACTATGATAGCATTGGTTATAACCAAATCCAACGCGGCGTCATCTCCAACTCCCGTTGCTTGTCCCATTCCTTCTCTTAGCACTTTTCCCCCGCCAAACTTGCATTCGTCTCCGTATACCGTATAATCCTTCTCAATCTCTAACCACAAATCGGTATTTCCCAATCTGATTCTATCCCCGGTGGTAGGTCCATAAAAGTCAGCATATACTTTCCTTTCCATCGTGTATGGATAGACTCGTAACGAGCCCTCGGTCTGAACAGTGTGAGAAAAGCCCTGTTTAACCAAGTCATCGACTATCTGAGTAAGTTTGCTTGAATTGACGTAACCAGAAGCAATGCCATTGCCACCAGTGATGCGTTTTTTTCCAGCGATGGAGACGAGAGAAACTGTCTTGCTTTCACCCGGTTCAAAACGAATGGCAGTACCTGCGGGCACGTCGAGGCGTCTTCCATAAGCTAAAGAACGATCAAATGAGAGAGCTCGATTGGTTTCAATAAAGTGGTAATGGGAGCCCACCTATAAAGTAGAAATGCTGTTACCCATCATACAGTCAATGACACCCATGAACGTATAGTACCAAGAATTCTTTCTCACCTGAACAGGTCTGTCGCCGTTATTAGTTACTCTAACGCCAATCCTCTCTCTTCCTTCATTCAGAACAATCATCCCCGGCCTAATCAAGTAAGCACCAGGGCCATGTTTGTCTCCCTTTTCATCCTCCAACTTAAACATATCATTACTAGGCACAGGAAGAAAGCTTCCGTACAGCGCCGATTCCAAATCCCCATCATCTGTACAAATAGGATCATGCACAGTCACCAAATAAGTTCCATCTGGAAATGTGCCTTCTACTTGCACTTCTGCCAACGTATCCAGTACACCCGGTAATACATGTCGTCGTCCGAGCATTTGTTTGCCAACATTCATCAGATCAGCAACTGAATAAGTGCCATCACGGATGAATTCGAGAAGCTGTGAGGCAACGAGCGCTGTCGCTTCGGTATGATTGAGTTTCAGACCACGTGCAAGGCGTTTCTGAGCCAGAAAGCCTACTTGGTGGAGGACTAACTTATCTAATTCGCGTGGGACGAGTTTCATTAAGAATGTATGTAATTAGATTTGGATGATGGTGACTAAATGGAACAGATGGATGATGCAATTCGTTTTATATGGTCCTTGAGAATGTAGGAGACGTTGTGAGAACATATACATATTTGGTTGTCTTTTAATTGATTTAACACACCTTGTGTGGTCGAAATCTTCCCGATAAAGTATCGATTGTCGCTGTATCTCGATAATCAATTTTATTACTCGGGATTAAGAACGAATGCAATTTAAAGAAGTTCAATACAATGTATGTAACTAGAAATGGCTGACGGGAGATTCTCTATTGGTGTATCTTGGAAATAAATTTTTTACAGGTTGGGATTGTTTCTATTTATTGATACAGACTTCTTCATTATTAACTAATACAAATTGTTTGCAAGGCAAGACGTTGGTCATCTAATGGATCGTATAAAGAGACTTGAAGTTACTGCCATAGTTCAATTTAAAATGAACATTATACTGTTACGCACAGCGTCCTAACTATCATTTCGTTATTTGACATTTGCATTTTGCACATCAAAGAGGTGCGTTTCTTTCACCGTACAACCAAAAATATTAAAACGGAATCGTCGAATTAAGAATTTAAGCCGCGTCTTGCATTGGTTATTTGCGTTGAGTGCGGTAGTGTATAGAACAGTATTACCCTAAAAATTTGTTGTATCGAATTTTTATCGTAATTGGTTTCAACTAACAAGCTTTATTCTGTATCTTTACTACAATTAATATAACTCCCTACTTGACATCACATAGATAATTACAGTCCATATGGTACTATTTTGATAATATTAAGCACACTTATCTTTATGTAATCCGAATGCAATTGTCTTCTTTAACATCTTGTACAGCTCAATCATACGTCTTATTTCACGGAGAGTATACAGCTCACTTTGATCACACTTCTCGTTACAATGTATTGAGGTTTATGGCCTCGACAGAAATATACGCACTGTAATTTAGCGCACCTTATAGGTAAAATATGTTAGATGGTAAACCTAAAATCGATTTTATCCTACAAAAAACTATAAATAGGTTATGCAATTCGAATATTTATTAACTTTGCGCAAATTTATACTCGGTTTAAAGCCATTAGATTTATAAAAGATTACCCGAATATCTTCTTAGTTGAGAAATTGAGTTTTGAATCTAGGGTACTATTCGTTAGTCACCGACCACCCCTAAATTTGCGATATTGACATAATGAGCAATGCAATTACGGTGAAATTTAGCGCATCTAGTGTACAACGTATTTAAAAAAAAAAGAAAAAAAGCGGTGTGTTAGCTAGTAATATAATTAATTTACACAAATTTACATTCTTAAAAAGCGTAAAAGACCTGCAAAAAACTTTAGCTAAATATCTTGCTTTTTTTTTTTTTCTTTGAGAAACTAAAGTATAAGTTTATTTTATTTCAGTTGGTTGTCCACTGAAGTTATCCAACCTTCATCTCGTACTGAATGAATGGGCTTGCAGATAGATTATTATTAGCTGGTGCAAATAGTACAAGCTCTATCTCTAAATCTGGCAACATTAATACGTATTCCATTATTATTATTAGTCAATACATTAACAGCATGAAGGTTTTCTACACCAATATTTGCAGTAATGTTTTGTAATCCCCACTTCATACAAATATTATAAAATTGGTCATCATAATGTGGCAAATAAGCGTTTGCTTTGCATATTTAAGAACTGACATAAGGGAGAAAAATTGTTTATATTGTAGAAATATAGTTTCTTAAAGCAATAAGTTACGTCACAGCATCTATAAATCATTCTGTCCATTCATTAATGCTCTGCGATTGTAGTTTGTTAGAACAGTAACAGTCCAGCCGTTGACTAACCATGTCAAAAGCAAACGTAAAGCGGACAAACAGTTTGCTCATAGAGTAAAAATAAGGACGAAGTAAACGGCTTTATTTGCTAATATCTATTATATTGTATTTTCTATTTTTGCCGATGCGCATACAAAGAATTCTTATAAATGCGATGAATCTAATAAAACGGTAAACACTTTACTTTAATATACCAAATACTGCCATTCTAAACCATTTTCTCTACATATTTGGATCCATAAAAGAAATGCGATGCACGATAATCATAGATTTTCTTTAAGGCATTTCTATTATTATGCATGTCATATAGGAAGCGTTTTTTATAAAGATTCTAAAATAATATTTATTGTAAATGCACGCAAAGTTCCATTCGTATGAATCATAAAGAGTTATTCACAGAACTTGTGTTATAACAAAGACAAATGATTTTTTACATTGCACTACGTTCAATTTGTTGTACAAAAAGTGAACTAGTACTAATTAGTTTAGGTGATGCCTATTGTTGACATAAAATCGTATATAATTACACCACCCACGGCCAAGTTTCGTGTGAGTTTTACGTACATACTTTGAGATGAATCTGACCGAACATTTCCAATGCGGTGTGTGTGGAAATCTAAAGCCCAACCCTCAAGAAGCACAGTGTTGTCACAAACTCTTTTGCCTCGACTGTATCAAATGTACCGAAGATGACAAACACTGTCCAGCCTGTGGAGCAAACGCTAGCTTCTGCAACAATGTTTTTGCATCGAGAATAATCAACATTAAGCTCAAGGATGACATCAGGCCTAGCAACAATTCTTTACGATCGCTGGTCACTTCGATCAGTAATACTATTCGCCGTGCGTTTACTAATACCAACAACTCCCATTCTGATACTAATACGGATATCCCTGGCGCTTTTCCCATCACCGTGTTAACTTTGAATAACAAGAAAATCGATGTCATTGTCGAGAAAAGTGACTCGATCAATATTCTCAAGCTTAAGATTGAACAAAAAGATGGTATGCGTTTCATGGGGGAGTGAGTGGGGTAGGGACAGAATCAAGATGAGTACATGCCAACAATAATTTATTTTTCCGTAGGCACTCCTCCGCAAGACCAGCGTTTAATTTTTCTAGGAAAACAACTAGAGGATCACCTGGCCATCTCGAACTATAATATTGAGAAAGGCGTGACTGTGCATCTCGTGCGTCGTTATCAGGGTGGCTAACGAGTTAGATAATAGTCATTACGGAACAATTGTAATTTCGTGCGTGTATATACAATATATAAGAGTAGGGTACAGGTTTCATTATTGAATAAAATTTCAAATCCTTGCTTATGGCTGACGGAATTTCTTAATGTGGTCTTAACAATACAATAATAATAATACATAGATCATTTCAGGATTAAATTTATGGCCATGGCCTTCATTTGACAATTGGGATATCATAAAAGAGCGCCTTTTTATTGTATGGTTCAATAGATACAATACTCTTATTCTCGAAGTCTAGAATATGTGAACACTATCTAAGACGATTCCGTATACTGTTTGTTGCAATTATCAAGACAAATAAGGCAACAACACAATTGAATTGCTCAAATGTTACATACCAAAAATAATACTAATGGATTAATTTGCGAGAGAGCAATAAAGGCATTTATAATAATGACTACATTTATAAATGTTGGACACGATATGAGGCAACGAACTTACTATGATGTGAACGTTACTTTTCAATGGAAATAGAGTGGACCGTGAATTTAAGGTCTTCCAATTGTCTATTTCGTAAACAGAAAAACAAGCCAACTAATCATCGGCTAGCCAAGGGAATCGTACCTTTTAGTGCAACGTGCCAATGACACAAAAATTACAACAGCAGTAGCGTCAGACCTCACGACCTCACGCACGTAATAGACGTTATTTGGATCATAAAATGTGGAAACCAATTCACTCCTTGTCTTACTATTCAAGACTCGAATAAACAAGCGTCCACCGTTTTATTATGTTTGGTATAACTTATTCCAATTTACTAATAATTTTCTGCCAATGACCTGGCTATTATGAAAAGAAATTAAGTCCTTTTTTTCTATATACAACAAAATAAAAGTACAATATAATGTGCTTTTTCGAAACGAAACGGATTCATATTATTTTCCATTCAAAAGCCCGGCCCCCACCTCTTCGTCTTGGTCGTTATCGTCCTCCCGCCTTCTCTTCCTCATACTTTCACCACTCTCGTTCTCTATATCATCATCACTACTCCTTCGCTTCCCACTCTCTTGCCCGTCATCAGTCTCACTCTTTTCTGTCTCGTCATCATCATACTCATCACCATTTCGACCATACATCGGATCGTCGTCATCACTAGCATGAACGGCTAACGGATCATCGTCTTCACGATTGATGAAATTAATCGCCAACGGATCATCCGTATCGTCGACTATACTGGGGCTATTCACCGCCAATGGATCGTCATTCGATGCGCTGTCGTTGGACTGGAGATCGGCATGAAGCGAATTGTTGATATCACCTTGCATATCTTCATTCATATCCTTTGGAGTATCCTCTTCCATCATGTCACCGATTGGCTTATCGCTATCGTTCATTATTTCATCACCCAGCACAGTATCGTCATCTGCGCCCCTTCCATCATCGCTTTCAACCGGTGTATTCGGAGAATCTTCATGGGAATGATCCCACGTTGACAACTCGGGCTGTTGATCATTCTCGTTTTCCTTTTCGGGTTCTTCCATTGCACTTCTCTGCTCGGGCGACTCGCTAACTTTATCGAGCGAAGAACTCCTAGACACAGAGTTTGTCGTATGACGCTCACTTGCGGACGCAGAGGATTGTGGAGACTGATGAGTAGAATGAGGACGAGGCTCAGTTGCGTAGTTTCCTCGATTGTTGTCAGAGTGTCGACGTTCACTATTTGAATGATTGTTCGTGTCATTCGTGTTATTCATTGAACGACGTCGATTAGTGTTATAATAATGTTCATCGCGTGACATATTGTCCCGAGAGTTTGAATTGTGATAACTGCTTCGTCTCCCTTCTCCATTAAAAGATCGTTCCCTTTCATCAACGTGACGCTCTCTATTCCTTGTATGATTTTCACTGTAGTTTGATGAATGTTCGCGGTTATTGCGCTGACGACTATTATGTGATTTATCATCAGATCTCGAATTGACAACGTCGGCATGCTGAGTATTGGGCGAGTGAGGCCGTGCGTCTGGCATATCTATGTCTTCATCGGCCGTAAGATCCGATGATGCATTATCAACTGCTGAAAGAACTCGTTTGATTTGCAATTGTCGTTGGAGAACTTGGTCGTCGAGATTTCTGTCTTGTTGATCCAGTTCGGCTATTTTTTGTTCTAATTCATCTATCTCTCTAAACAATGTCGCTTATCAGAAACAACATCAGAACTGCATAGGGGGGTTTTTTTTAACAAGGATACTCACTGCGTTAACTCTCTCCGGGACTTGTGTAATGATATATCCTTTGCTAAGCGATTGTATTCCTTCTTGTTTATTACTAATATCTCTTCCGCCCGTAATTCCTCTTCTAATTGAGCAATAGTTGCTTTTGCTTCTTCTATTTGAGCGGCTATATATGAAAAAAGAACGTGAGATTATCCTTTGGTCATGAATTCGAATCTCTAAATTCATAAATTGCACGATAAGAGCTCTTATTTTGTTACTACCTACCAATCGTTTGAGATTCTTCTTCCCAGTGTATGTGCTCTCGTACGCTCATGTCATGAATCCGCTGAAAGCGCAACAGATTCTGTACATAGGTGTTGAAATCCAGTAAAAAGTCTGCACAACATTGTGACCTAATGTATACATACAAAGATTTAAACATACAGCGTGCTTTGGTAGTATTAATTTGTAATAAGGATCTCTCTTACGCTTCAGGGATCTGTCCTTTTATTAGCGAGTTCCTCCATGCCGCGTGTTTCTTGACGACTCGAAGAAGTTGACGCTCTTCCACCAACAGCCTATCACGAATTAGCTCTACCAATAGAGTGAGACAGTTCAGTAAGCAACCGTATGGACTGTATTGGCATAATTCACTTCAATAGAGAATAGATCTATCACACCTTCGTCTGCGGTACTACTCATGTTCATTCAATGGTTCTAAAATATTAGACAACAATTTAATTATTGCTGGTCGATTCACATGTTCCGTGTAACATTAAGCGCATAAGTCGCTCGTAATTTCAATACCCTTACGAAATGGCAGTATGATGATAATGTATGTTACATGTATAAATGATAATTGTTGTGCTTTTTACATTGAACTACTATGAAGGCTTGACTATTTTCTCCACAACTTATTTTCCAGCCATTCTCGTGTTGACATCAACAGCCGAGACGAAAATATGCTTTACAAAAAACCCTCTGGATTGAGAAATCAGTTCATTAGTTGATAAGCGTCATATAATGTTTCTTTTTGCGAACGTGCATACAAGAAGCCAACGCCAGACAAGCTAATTAACCACTCGCTCGCACTGCAAACCTACAGATTAACACCTTGCCGACAAAATTGGTTTAGAAAATTAATCAGACGTCAATTCAACGAACGCCAATGTGTTCAGATCTATTTGCAATCATTAACTATTCCAAAGTAAGATTTGTTCTATGATAATGTCCCTCGTTTCAACAGCATATATTCTTGTAGCACTTAGAGTTAGTTTTGCTACGATAATTAGCAACTATTATGATCTGAGCTTGACAATTCTAAGATGATCCAAGTCACTCAATGCCTTTAGCACCAAGATTGTTCGATCCAGCTGTGCTTTATTTTCACCATCAGTCGGCAGTATAATTAATAGAACGTACAGTTTTCTGTAAAAGTCTCTTAATTGATCCAAAGATCGCATTACACACTTGAACAGTTTGTCCTAAAGGTATTGTAATTGCAACATCTATAAGTCAGTGAACAAGTAATGGAGGCGAAATCAGCAAGAAAACTTGCATCATACAGTGTGAGTCGACAATTCGCAAGTAATATTTCCTAATCACAAGACTATACAGACAGTATGGGAGGCTTCACATACCTGAATAGCAAGCTACATGGAGCAGTAAAACGATAATCCAGTATAACGATGGCGCTATCCACGGTTGTATTCACTTTCTTCCCTCTTTCTTCCCTCTACTACCGTCAGTATATTGCTGACGTCTTGAATGCTGTCATTTTGTCGAAATTGACTTTGCACAAATGCTCGGAAACGAGGTCTACTGTCCTGCATATGCCAAAGTCCGTCAGTCGGGTATTAACAGCATAGATAATAATCCATCAAGAATACAAAACGTATGTTGTTTTTTCATTCTGTTAACATACAGAATATCTAGTAATTAGGACAGTTGCCATTACTATCTGACCCATTTATGTACATACCACAGGCGCTTCTTACGTATGACCTAACGGTAAAAGGCAATAACTTCCTGCTAGTGGAGTTGTCATATTAGCTACGGTAAAGTGAAAATTACCAAAATTGTCGAGCGCCACTCACCATTTGTCTACTTATTTGTCGTGAGACAGAATATAGCTCTCCTCTATTCTGTTGTTGTAGATACTAAGATTACAAGAGTCGTGATTTTACTCTGAAGAGGGTAACGGGAGCGTAACAACTGTTACTATATTCAGACTCTTTAGTCAGTCGTATATAGACCAAGGCTATAATTTCACATATTGTTAAGATGCGAATATATATCACACAATTGCTCCAGCAGCAAATCTGCTACGCAATGATTCGCCTTGAGCATGAAACCTTCAGTGATGCTCGTGAGCCCATCGGCTTATAAGTTCGACACATATAAAGATCTTGTAATTCTCCATAGTGCACATGGTATGGCCTCATACAACTGATCGAAGCTCAATCCAGATGGGCAATGGAAGATCGAATTCTTATACCCTAATGCAAGAATAATAATATGATTTTTAATGATTTTTCTTATTGATCATCCCAAGCAATTGCGGAGGAAGAATGTTTTATTTCCTAACGACAGAAAAAGCTTCGTGATTCGAAGTGTGAGATATGCTGACCCAAGTAAATAAAATTAAGTGACATAAAGAATATGAGGAATTATTTGATTTAGAATAAAATGATACAAACTTTGTGGTTCCGAAAAGTATCCATATACATCAAATCCGAAGTATTGAAAAGGCGTTTTCAATGAACCGTAGACTCAAACTCTATTGAGATTTTGAATCTATTGTTCTTCGTTATCGCCGATCATCTAAACAAAAAACAGCTCATTATTGGCTCGAAACCATATTTACTATCTGTTGAAAGTGCAATTATTTCAAACCAAAACTCAAAGAAGTTGATACGTTACTTATACAAATCCAATCTCAAGCCACAAACTCGGAGAATATCTTCTTTTGTATGAGTTTCGTATAATTTCCGATGATGGATATGATCATCGTAAAAAGATCGTTGCATTATATCTTATTAAAGCGATCGAAACGTATAGCGGGAAATATAGTAGATCGGGAAAAGACACAAGACGCAATGTCGCAAGTTATATTACAACAGTTTAACTTATCATAAAGACATACCGATAATGTTTTATATGTTATATGTAATAGCACGTACACTAGTGGCAATAACTGTTAAAGCGTCGTTGTTTCGCAAGATCTGTATAATACAAGTTATGCGGCGCCAGTTTTGCTCCAGGTTTCTTCATTGTTATTTGTCGTAAATACCGACGTCGTTTCTCCAAACGTAGGCAGCAGTGAGCGGGTAATACGGACAATAAAGAGTTTTTTTATAAATAAAACAACACTTTAACAAAGTGTAAACGAGATACGTGCATGCAAGCATTAAAAGCAAGCAAGCGCTCTGATAAGGACTTTGTAAAAGACTACAAGCTATACTCTCGAGAAAAGTGGGTAATAAACGAACAGTCATAAGCAAACGTTGATAATTGTTTACGCAGCAAAAATCAAAATAACAATAGTAAAAAACTTTTTAAGGGGCGAGCTACTAAAACTAGATCTAAAGTTTTTGATATCAACAAGGCAAATTTTGAGCGCGAGTAGTAAAATACGTCTATTCAGTGCAATCACCGTACAGACAAGTCTAACTGATTGTGTGCATTATCCTCCGGATCTATTCTAATTAGTTGTCTTCGTTTGCAGATTCATTCGGTATTCTAGAAGACGTTCAAATCGGGTAAAGCAGCTAGCACACCATGTTATGCCTTCCGATAGGTGCGCATCTGGTACATTTAGTCTAACACTTTTTCTTGAAGAATAGGACCACTAACCG